ATTAGCAAAGCTGAACATACCCTGTCTACCCTATAACCCAGCTTCCATTTCTGAATTTATACTCTGGAGAAACTTTCACATGTGTCCGGGAACATTGTTAATTATGACCCCAAACTGGAAACAATCCCATGTGCCTCAGCAGTAGAACGGGTACATAAATTGTGAGGCGATCATACAATGCACTATTACAAAACAAGTAGAGTGAACAAACTGTTGCTCCATGAAGTACGGATGAATTTTACAAGTACAGTGTTGAGCAAAAAATCCAGGTAAAAAGTATGTTTCCTGCTATACAGAGTTCAAAAAATAGGCAAAACTCATGTGTGGCAGTATAGGTCTGGATAACAGTTACTCCTGATAGTAGGTAGTGACTGGGAGAGGTCATGAAGAGAGGTAATATCCATTTTGTGTTGTACATAATAAACAGTTTACTTTAAAAAACATAAAGAATGATTACATTTACTTAGGTTCAAAGCAGGCAAAAATTAAAAAAGTCTATTTTTAGTGATATATATACAGATGTTCACTATTTTTAAAAAGCTTGGGTAAATAATGATTGGGAGGAGGGAAAGAAGTGTAATCACTTGTATATCACAAGAAGATAAATGGCTTGGGGCACCTGGGTGGCTCAGTGGGTTAAAGCCTCTGCCTTCAGCTCAGGTCATGATCCCAGGGTCCTGGGATCAAGCCCTGCATCAGGCTCTCTGCTCAGTGGGGAGCCCGCTTCCCTTCCTCTCTCTCTGCATGCCTCTCTGCCTACTTGCGATCTCTGTCTGCCAAATAAATAAATAAAAATCTTAAAAAAAAAAAAAAAGAAGAAGAAGAAGATAAACAGCTTCTAGGACACTGACGATGTTCAATTTCTACATTAGGGTGATGGCTGAATAGTGTTCCTGTTATTATTAAAAATATATTTATGGGGGCGCCTGGGTGGCTCGGTGGGTTGGGCCGCTGCCTTCGGCTCGGGTCATGATCTCGGGGTCCTGGGATCGAGTCCCGCGTCGGGCTCTCTGCTCAGCGGGGAGCCTGCTTCCCTCTCTCTCTCTCTCTCTCTCTCTCTGTCTGCCTCTCTATTTGTGATCTCTCTCTGTCAAATAAATAAAATCTTTAAAAATATATATATATTTATGTTATATGTACTCTTCTATATGTATGATGCATTCCACAATAAAAGAATTTAAAGGAAACTAAACCAACCAACCCCAAAGCACGCACTTTTTAAAAGAAAGAGAGCAGAGGGACACCTGGGTGGCTCAGTTGGTTAAGCGGCTGCCCTCGGCTCAGGTCATGATCCCAGCGTCCTGGGATCGAGTCCCACATCGGGCTCCTTGTTCTGCGGGGAGCCTGCTTCTCCCTCTGCCTCTGCCTGCCACTCTGTCTGCCTGTGCTCGCTCTCTCTCTCTTTCTGACAAATAAATAAATAAAATCTTAAAAAAAAAAAGAAAGAGAGCAGAGCACGGTATTAAGATAATAATTTTAGAGCTGTAGGAGGCCTTCAAAATCAACTTGTCTAACCATTTCAAGAAACTGAAATAGAGGCCAGAGAAGTTAAGTGACTTACCCAAATGGATTCAGTCAATTACCGAGCATAATCTAGAACCTAGGTAAACCTCCTGGCTTGTCAAGTGCTCCTCCCACAGACCTACCCTGATTAATCCATCCAGTCCTAGTTTCTTCTTTTTTTTATATTTTATTTATTTATTTGACAGAGACACAGCAAGAAAGGGAACACAAGCAGAGGGAGTGGGAGAGGGAGAAGCAGGCTCCCCACTGAGCAGGGACCCCCCCAATGCGGGGCTCGACCCCAGGACCCTGGGACCATGACCAGAGCCGAAGGCAGACACTTAACGACTGAGCCACCCAGGCGCCACAGTCCTAGTTTCTAATTATCTTCGAGTCACATCTCTTATCTGCACAATTAGAAAACTCACCTGTGTTATAGCCTTTTTTTTTTTCCTTCCTAAATTAGAAATCTTTGCTGTGGGGAAAGGAGATCAGGGGAGATAATCCTCTCCCCTACAAATACTCTAAACACTTCGAAAATCAATCAAAATATCTAGTAGTACAGAAAGAGACCCAGATATTTTGCCTTGTTAATGCAGCTCTCTTGCTTCTCTGTATCCCACAGTATAGCCACACCAACACCCAGGCTGATTTTTAGGCTTTTGAGACACAAAGGAAAAGGGAAGGGTCTGAAAATTGATAAAAGAAAACTCTTCCTCTTTTTCTTTGTCCAAGCACAAGGTTTCCTTTGCGAAGAGTGCATTTTTCTGCCACACAGAATGACAATAGTGAACCCTAGATCCGTTTCGATCCCTGCTCCAAGGGGGCAGCACTGTAACGTGGCATTTGGAAGGAAAGAATCTACAGAATATTTCAAATAAGCAGAAGGGGGGTAGTGTCTGATATCATAAGGGAGCAGAGAATCATGTAATCATGTTAAGGAAAAATCACGAAAGGCAATGGAGCCCTTTATTCTCCCCTAACCACCTGCCCTGCTAAGAGAATCAGGCAGTTGTAGGAGGGAATAAAGGAATAAGACAGGGTTGCCCTGGGCCAATAGAGATCTGAAGCATTTAGCTTCCCTCCACTCAGTGGCCTTGCTCCTCTGTTCCTTTCCGCAGCAAAACACCTTGGAAAAGTTATGTACACCACTTCAGCTTCAATTCCCTCTCAGCCCTCTCCTGCTTCCGCCACTCCGCTGGAACTGCTGTCACAAGCCTGTCAGACCCACTGGTACTGTCTTTATTCTACATAACCTCTCTGCACTTGACCACCTAATTCCTTCCCAGCAAGACTCTTCTTTATTGGCTTCTAAGCCATCCACTCTCCTGGTTTCCTTAGCTCAGATGTCACCTCCTCAGAGAAGTCTGTCCTGACCACTGTAAGTGTAACCTCTGCGGGGTGTCCTTCACCTCACCACCTGTTTGCTGCTCCACCACAACTACCATAACCTCTAAATTATCCTGTATTTGCATTTGTGTTTTATCATCAGCCCTCTGCACTATTTTCTTTCCAGCTGTATTCATTGTCTGCTTCCCATCACTTCATGTGAACATAGGCTTGGTCTGGCTCACTGCTAGAAGAGCGGCTGGCACACAGTAGGCCCACAATACTTGTTGAGCGAAAGGGTGAAAGGCACTGTGACTGAATGCTCAGCCCTTCTTCCACATTTCGGGCAACATGCTGTCCTCCGGCGACATCTCTTTCCATTCTGTTTCCCCATCAAGATTTCCCCTGAATTCAATTTAGCCAGATTTCAACCTGAATTAAAATGCCAAGGAACAGGGTAATATTTAAAATTATAATTTGGGGGCGCCTGGGTGGCTCAGTGGGTTAAAGCCTCTGCCTTCAGCTCAGGTCATGATCCCAGGGTCCTGGGATCGAGCCCCGCATGGGGCTCTCTGCTCAGCAGGGAGCCTGCTTCCTCCTCTCTCTCTCTCTGCCTGCCTCTCTGCCTACTTGTGATCTTTGTCAAATAAATAAATAAAAATCTTTGAAAAAATTCTAAAAATAAATTATAATTTGACTCAGATCTCATGAACTCCCTCATGAAAAATCCCTTGACTCAAGCTCCCTTCACATCATTATCAGAGTGTCAGTCTCCAAGATCTTCTTATGCATAGCCAGACCTATATTGGCTCCAATGAAGAAAATTTAGAGTGAGTAGAAAGACTGCAAAGGTTCGTGACTTCAGCAGAAGATCTGCATAGATCTTCATTTCTGGGGGCACCTGGGTGGCTCAGTCGTTAGGCGTCTGCTTCAACTCAGGTCATGCTCCCAAGGTCCTGGGATCAAGCCCCATGTCAGGCTCCCTGATCTCCCTCTCCCACTCCCCCTGCTGGTGTTCCCTCGCTGTCTCTGTCAAATAGATAAATATTTTTTTTAAAAAGATACATTTCTGCTGTAGGATCTGTCTAGTTATGCTATCACAAAGTCTACAGAGTGTTACACTAGATGTAAACTCTCTGCTAAAAGTTAGAAAACTCTTCAACAATGGTTATCTGTCTAGGAAAACCTTCCCAAATCACAGACAGTATCACTTACCTAGTGCAATAGTCATGGCAATGTGGTCTACTCGTGGGTGTGAAAGTGTGCAAAACTAGGTAGATACATCTAAGCTAAAGTTTATATGTACAGCTGTGAATGAATTCTAGAGATTATGGCCAGAATTCTCCAGTTAGAGAGGAGATAACAGAGATTCAGAGATGTCAAGGAATTTTCTCGAGGTGATATTAATAACAGGGCTTATGCTGGAACTCAAGTCTATCAGTTCCTAGTCCTGTACTCTCTCCAGTGTTGTCCACTAACTCATTCGGTCCTAGTTTCCTGCTCCATTCTTTTTTTTTTTAAAGGTTTGTTCCCTCTCTCACTGTTTCTGTCAGTAAATAAATAAAAAATTTAAAAGTAAATTTAAAAAATAAAGATTTTATTTATTTATTTGTCAGAGAGAAAGCACAACTAGGGGAAGTGGCAGGCAGAGGGAGAAGCACGCTCGCCGAGCAAGGAGCCCTATGCAGGACTCAGTCCCAGGACCCTAGGATCATAAGCTGAAGGCAGATGCTTAATAAGCTGAGCCACCCAAGAGTGCTCTATTCTTGAATCACTTTCCTTAATAGAAATCTCTACATCTCTTTATGTCAGTGAATAAATCTTTGTGCTCGTGTCAGCAAGCATGCATGTGAATGTCTACGTGTCCATGTACAAGTGTTTGTAAAGCGTATCACTGGGTGTTTATGTCCTTTCTTCTAGGGAAACCTCTAGGTAATTACAGTTCCTTATGTCGGCACCAGCTATGAAGTCAGAGGAAGACTTTTTGAGTCAATCATTAACAAGCTCATTTGGTCTTCTCCCCAATCAGCTCTATTCCTAGGTCTTCAGGAAATGGGGCAAAAATAGTTAGGGTGGAACCAGACTCTCCCGGGGTCAAAATTCGTTCCAGGGCAGTGCAAGCCCCTAGCAAGAAGACGAAGGCGCTGTGAGCATGTGCTCCAGCTAAGATGGATACCATCTTGGTCTTCAGCCTAATCATTACGTCCTATGATGTCAGCAAGAAAGGTAAGTACTTCAATAGTCTAATATCCTAGAAAATCCAAAGAGAGACCTAGGATATGGGAGACTATTCTACCAGATTGAGATACAGCCAGTACTCAGCTGGTGATGATTTAAAGTCATCCCATGTATTTTCTTGGTTCTAGGTAGGACTATAACTTATTTCAACTCAGAGATAGCTGTTCCGTGGTGAGAATTCTACCCCCCCTTCCACACTTCTTTTTCTTTTTTTAAGATTTATTTATTTGAGAGAGTGAGAAAGAGAGTGAGCCAGGGGAGGAGCGGAGGGAGAGGGAGAAGCAGACTCCAGGGTAGGCTGGAATGGCACCATTTGCTGCTCTCTGATAACTGTTTATTTAAAACATGCTTTTTCGGGTGCCTGGGTGGCTCAGTGGGTTAAGCCGCTGCTTTCGGCTCAGGTCATGATCTCAGGGTCCTGGGATCAAGTCCCGCATCGGGCTCTCTGCTCTGCGGGGAGCCTGTTTCTCTCTCTCTGCCTGCCTTTCTGCCTACTTGTGATCTCTCTCTGTCAAATAAATAAATAAAATCTTTAAAAAAATAAAAAAAATAAAAAATAAATAAAATAAATAAAACATGCTTTTTCAAGGTGTCCGAACAGTTCATCTCTAAAATTAGCTAATCAGGGGACGCCTGGGTGGCTCAGTTGGTTGGACAACTGCTTTCGGCTCGGGTCGTGATCCCAGAGTCGCAGGATCGAGTCCCACATCAGGCTCCCGGCTCCACGGGGAGTCTGCTTCTCCCTCTGACCTTCTCCTCGCTCATGCTCTCTCTCACTGCCTCTCTCTCAAATAAATAAATAAAATCTTAAAAAATAAATAAATAAATAAATAAAATAAAATTAGCTAATCAGAGTTATGGCCAAACAGCTCAAGGGGCAGCAATAACAAATTTAATGGATGAAGAAAACTCACAATATCCTGTGAGTTATTTGCCAAAAAGCATAAATAAGCTATGTCCTTGGTTCCATGGAAACCTGAAGAGATACCTTGTTCAGAGTTACACTGAACAAACTTTCAAAAGTTCTAATATAAGAAGGCAGATAGAACAAGAAGGAAAAGAGGTAACAAGCAGCATTTGAAGGAATGGGTTGATTAGTCTTTTTATTAACTCATAATTCTGTTTAACTTGCATTCACCTTTTTTTCCCCCCTCAGTGTAATGGATTGGTACTGTTTTCCTTGTACAAGGTTAACTCCTACTTGCATATATTTTAAAATCTTTTTTTTTTTTTAATAGTGTTTGATCTCCCCCATTGCCAGCTTGATGAGAAGGGACTGCATTCTTCTGCACCACCCTCTCCGGTACCTGGAATTCTAAACTGTACCTAATAAATTGTAAGTCCTGACCTTTTTCTCTTTTTGTTTCCAGATTTCAGAGATAGCAGCTGCCACGTGGAACAGTTGCCTGGGTTCATCCCAAAGGATGTGAGAAGAACTGGGGATGTGCTCACGCAAGGTAGGGAATGGGCCCTGCCTGAAAAATCACCTTGCCATTCCAGAAAATCTTTACGCCTAAAAGAGGACTGTCTTCCCCAATTCCTATCCCAGATCTCGAATATCCGATTTTAAAGATATGTATCCCCTCAAGAGGGTTTCTGGAAACCAATTTTTGAATTAACACTTATTACCTAAGGCATGGCTATATCAATCAAACAGCTGAGGGTGAAGAAAGAGAAGGAGGCACCGTGTAACCCTCTCTGCATTGGAGAAGACAACCTCGAAGCTTTTCCCTGGGCTGAATTTACTGCAGGCACCTATCTTCACGAGACCCATGGCAGGAAGGAGGAAAGGCAGGGCATCTACACTTAGGACCAAAACCACATGTTGAGGAAGAAGTGAACTAAAGAGAAGCAAGTACAGCAGTGGAGTTTGTTTTTTGTTTTTGTTTTTTTTAAGATTTTATTTATCTACTTGACAGAGACCACAAGTAGGCAGAGAGGCAGGCAGAGAGAGAAGAGGGGGAAGCAGGCTCCGGGCTGGGCAAATAGCCCAATTCCGGGCTCGATACCAGGACCCTGAGATCATGACCTGAACTGAAGGCAGAGGCTCAACCCACTGAGCCACCCAGGCACCCCCAGCAGTGGAGTTTTAACAGGGGTCACGAATGGAAGATATTCAGCTGGGTACCATTCAGATTAACAACCAGCTTCATTCTTCTAACTGGCTTTTCTCCTTCCAGAGGCTCAGGCACAAGCCAGAACATCTACCTTCATTCAAAATCAGACTGTGGCTACCCTGCAGTGCCTTGGCTCTGGGAGCAAAGTCAAAGTCAACCTTGTTTATTCAGAGAAAGGGTCAAAGATCAATCAGACTCTGAAGAACCTGAGAGTGATCGCTGCTCCCCGCAGAAACAGCACTGCCTCCCCAAATTGTCACTTAACCTCCACAACCAAGTTTCAGACTGGATCCCTTCTCACAGGGCAAGGTGAGACTGGAAAATGAGATGGAGATAGACACTGACTTTTAGTTGACATCCTTGAAGCCGGGTGGGGCTTAGTAGTAGCTAAGGGCTCAAGGATATGGATTATCCTCTCCTTGGGCAGATCTGGGTCTTCTCTGAAAGTCAGGTGTTTTTTTTTTAAGATTTTATTTATTTATTTGACAGACAGAGATCACAAGTAGGCAGAGAGGCAGGCAGAGAGACAGAGGAGGAAGCAGGCTCTGCTAAGCAAAGAGCCCGATGCGGGTTTCGATCCCAGGACCCCGGGATCATGACCTCAGCCGAAGGCAGAGGCTTTAACCCACTGAGCCACCCAGGTGCCCTGAAATTCAGTTTTTTAATCTCTATGGGCCCTCTAACCCTGACAATGCTGGGATTTTCATGTGATTTCCATTTCTGATGGGTCTTCTTTTGATAATGGTTATTTGAATTTTTTTTTAAATTTTATTTTTCATAAACATATAATATCTTTTTATCCCCAGGGGTACAGGTCTGTGAATCGCCAGGTTTACACACTTCACAGCACTCACCATAGCACATACCCTCCCCAATGTCCATAATCCCACCCCCCCAACCCCCCTCCCCCCATTAACCCTCAGTTTGTTTTGTGAGATTAAGAGTCACTTATGGTTTGTCTCCCTCCCAATCCCATCTTGTTTCATTTACTCTTCTCCTACCCCCTTAACCCCCCATGTTGCATCTCCTCTCCCTCATATCAGGGAGATCATATGATAGTTGTCTTTCTCCGATTGACTTATTTCGCTAAGCATGATACCCTCTAGTTCCATCCACGTCGTCGCAAATGGCAAGATTTCATTTCTTTTGATGGCTGCATAGTATTCCATTGTGTATATATACCACATCTTCTTTATCCATTCGTCTGTTGATGGACATCTAGGTTCTTTCCATAGTTTGGCTATTGTAGACATTGCTGCTATAAACATTCGGGTGCACGTGCCCCTTCGGATCACTACGTTTGTATCTTTAGGGTAAATACCCAGCAGTGCAATTGCTGGGTCATAGGGTAGTTCTATTTTCAACTTTTTGAGGAACCTCCATGCTGTTTTCCAGAGTGGTTGCACCAGCTTGCATTCCCACCAACAGTGTAGGAGGGTTCCCCTTTCTCCGCATCCTCGCCAGCATCTGTCATTTCCTGACTTGTTAATTTTAGCCATTCTGACTGGTGTGAGGTGATATCTCATTGTGGTTTTGATTTATATTTCCCTGATGCCGAGTGATGTGGAGCACTTTTTCATGTGTCTGTTCGCCATCTGGATGTCTTCTTTGCAGAAATGTCTGTTCATGTCCTCTGCCCATTTCTTGATTGGATTATTTGTTCTTTGGGTGTTGAGTTTGCTAAGTTCTTTATAGATTTTGGACACTAGCCCTTTATCTGATATGTCATTTGCAAATATCTTCTCCCATTCTGTCAGTTGTCTTTTGGTTTTGTTAACTGTTTCCTTTGCCGTGCAAAAGCTTTTGATCTTGATGAAATCCCAATAGTTCATTTTTGCCCTTGCTTCCCTTGCCTTTGGCGATGTTCCTAGGAAGATGTTGCTGCGGCTGAGGTCGAAGAGGTTGCTGCCTGTGTTCTCCTCAAGGATTTTGATGGATTCCTTTCTCACATTGAGATCCTTCATCCATTTTGAGTCTATTTTCGTGTGTGGTGTAAGGAAATGATCCAATTTCATTTTTCTGCATGTGGCTGTCCAATTTTCCCAACACCATTTGTTGAAGAGGCTGTCTTTTTTCCATTGGATATTCTTTCCTGCTTTGTCGAAGATTAGTTGACCATAGAGTTGAGGGTCTATTTCTGGGCTCTCTATTCTGTTCCATTGATCTATGTGTCTGTTTTTGTGCCAGTACCATGCTGTCTTGATGATGACAGCTTTGTAATAGAGCTTGAAGTCCGGAATTGTGATGCCACCAACTTTGGCTTTCTTTTTCAATATTGCTTTGGCTATTCGAGGTCTTTTCTGGTTCCATATAAATTTTAGGATTATTTGTTCCATTTCTTTGAAAAAAATGGATGGTACTTTGATAGGAATTGCATTAAATGTGTAGATTGCTTTAGGTAGCATAGACATTTTCACAATATTTATTCTTCCAATCCAGGAGCATGGAACATTTTTCCATTTCTTTGTGTCTTCCTCAATTTCTTTCATGAGTACTTTATAGTTTTCTGTGTATAGATTCTTAGTCTCTTTGGTTAGATTTATTCCTAGGTATCTTATAGTTTGGGGTGCAATTGTAAATGGGATGGACTCCTTAATTTCTCTTTCTTCTGTCTTGTTGTTGGTGTAGAGAAATGCAACTGATTTCTGGGCATTGATTTTATATCCTGACACTTTACTGAATTCCTGTACAAGTTCTAGCAGTTTTGGAGTGGAGTCTTTTGGGTTTTCACATATAGTATCATATCATCTGCGAAGAGTGATAGTTTGACTTCTTCTTTGCCAATTTGGATGCCTTTAGTTTCCTTTTGTTGTCTGATTGCTGAGGCTAGGACTTCTAGTACTATGTTGAATAGCAGTGGTGATAATGGACATCCCTGCCGTGTTCCTGACCTTAGCGGAAAAGCTTTCAGTTTTTCTCCATTGAGAATGATATTTGCGGTGGGTTTTTCATAGATGGCTTTGATAATATTGAGGTATGTGCCCTCTATCCCTACACTTTGAAGAGTTTTGATCAGGAAGGGATGCTATACTTTGTCAAATGCTTTTTCAGCATCTATGGAGAGTATCATATGGTTCTTGTTCTTTCTTTTATTAATGTGTTGTATCACATTGATTGATTTGCGGATGTTGAACCAACCTTGCAGCCCTGGAATAAATCCCACTTGGTCATGGTGAATAATCCTTTTAATGTACTGTTGAATCCTATTGGCTAGTATTTTGGCGAGAATTTTTGCATCTGTATTCATCAAGGATATTGGTCTGTAGTTCTCTTTTTTGATGGGATCCTTGTCTGGTTTTGGGATCAAGGTGATGCTGGCCTCATAAAATGAGTTTGGAAGTTTTCCTTCCATTTCTATTTTTTGGAACAGTTTCAGGAGAATAGGAATTAGTTCTTCTTTAAATGTTTGGTAGAATTCCCCTGGGAAGCCATCTGGCCCTGGGCTTTTGTTTGTTTGGAGGTTTTTGATGACTGTTTCAATCTCCTTACTGGTTATGGGTCTGTTCAGGCTTTCTATTTCTTCCTGGTTCAGTTGTGGTAGTTTATATGTCTCTAGGAATGCATCCATTTCTTCCAGATTGTCAAATTTGTTGGTGTAGAGTTGCTCATAGTATGTTCTTATAATTGTCTGTATTTCTTTGGTGTTCGTTGTGATCGCTCCTCTTTCATTCATGATTTTATTTATTTGGGTCCTTTCTCTTTTCTTTTTGACGAGTCTGGCCAAGGGTTTATCGATCTTATTAATTCTTTCAAAGAACCAGCTCCTAGTTTCGTTGATTTGTTCTATTGTTTTTTTGGTTTCTATTTCATTGATTTCTGCTCTGATCTTTATGATTTCTCTTCTCCTGCTGGGTTTAGGGTTTCTTTCTTGTTCTTTCTCTAGCTCTTTTAGGTGTAGGGTTAGGTTGTGTACCTGAGACCTTTCTTGTTTCTTAAGAAAGGCTTGTACCGCTATATATTTTCCTCTCAGGACTGCCTTTGTTGTGTCCCACAGATTTTGAACCGTTGTGTTTTCATTATCATTTGTTTCCATGAATTTTTTCAACTCTTCTTTAATTTCCTGGTTGACCCATTCATTCTTTAGAAGGATGCTGTTTAGTCTCCATGTAATTGGGTTCTTTCCAAATTTCCTCTTGTGATTGAGTTCTAGCTTCAGAGCATTGTGGTCTGAAAATATGCAGGGAATGATTCCAATCTTTTGATAACGGTTGAGACCTGACTTAGGACTGAGAATATGATCTATTCTGGAGAATGTTCCATGTGCACTAGAGAAGAATGTGTATTCTGTTGCTTTGGGATGAAATGTTCTGAATATATCTGTGATGTCCATCTGGTTCAGTGTGTCATTTAAGGCCTTGATTTCCTTGTTGATCTTTTGCTTGGATGATCTGTCCATTTCAGTGAGGGGAGTGTTAAAGTCCCCTACGATTATGGTATTATTGTCGATGTGTTTCTTTGATTTTGTTATTAATTGGTTTATATAGTTGGCTGCTCCCATGTTAGGGGCATAGATATTTAAAATTGTTAGATCTTCTTGTTGGACAGTTCCTTTGAGTATGATATAGTGTCCTTCCTCATCTCTTATTATAGTCTTTGGCTTAAAATCTAATTGATCTGATATAAGGATTGCCACTCCTGCTTTTTTCTGATGTCCATTAGCATGGTAAATTCTTTTCCACCCCCTCAATTTAAATCTGGAGGTGTCTTCAGGTTTAAGATGAGTTTCTTGTAGGCAACATATAAATGGGTTTTGTTTTTTTATCCATTCTGATATCCTGTGTCTTTTGATTGGGACATTTAGCCCATTAACATTCAGGGTAAGTATTGAGAGATATGAATTTAGTGCCATTGTATAGCCTGTAAGGTGACTGTTATTGTATATTGTGTCTGTTCCTTTCTGATCTACTACTTTTAGGGTCTCTCTTTGCTTAGAGGACCCCTTTCAGTATTTCCTGTAGAGCTGGTTTGGTATTTGCAAATTCTTTCAGTTTTTGTTTGTCCTGGAAGCTTTTAATCTCTCCTTCTATTTTCAATGATAGCCTAGCTGGATATAGTATTCTTGGCTGCATGTTTTTCTCGTTTAGTACTCTGAATATATCGTGCCAGCTCTTTCTGGCCTGCCAGGTCTCTGTGGATAAGTCTGCTGCCAATCTAATATTTTTACCATTGTATGTTACAGACTTCTTTTCCCGGGCTGCTTTCAGGATCTTCTCTTTGTCACTAAGACTTGTAAATTTTACTATTAGGTGACGGGGTGTGGACCTATTCTTATTGATTTTGAGGGGGGTTCTCTGAATCTCCTGGATTTT